TAGTGGGGGTCACACAACCTTTGCTGCTTCGCTGGTGTTAGTGGGGGGTCAAACAACCTTTGCTGCGGATTCCTATTCACTTTGGAACCTATAATCTTCATTTACCTCCAGATGGGACTGAGATGCACAGTGGTGTGCTGGTCAAGGGCTTTGTCCTCTGGGATCATAGACTTTTATTTATAGACATCTTAAAATGAAGCTTACCATTTGGCAAAGGGCAATTAGCAGATTTCTGTTTGTTTTTGTAACAGGAAAGATGAGGATGGGTTAACAAGGCAGGATTTTTATTTATTTATTTATTTTTTTGGTGGCTGAAAAAAACAAGGATCAAGATATTCATGCACGTTATATTTAAGGCAAAAAGATATCCAGGACACGACTGCCCACATAGAAAGAGAAGGCTTTGCCAGCCTGTGGAATTTTTGTAGTTCATTTGAACTACATTTGGTATTTTTCCTATCATCTGTGTTTAAACATCTGACGGCATTCAGCCGCAGGGGGAAGGGCGTTTGGGATTTCGGGAATATGGTCTACCCTGGCAGTGAAGGTATCAAGAGCAGCTTGACCTACGGCGGCAAACGGGGAGCAGAGAAGAACACGTCGGGCTCAGCTGGCTTTTCTCCTGAGACCTCAGCCCGTAGAATGGCGCTGCCCACATTCAAGTTGGGCCTTTCTTCCTACGAACACCTCTCTGGGAACACGCTTGCCAGTAGGCAGAGGCAAGCCTTGTTAATGCCGTTGGTGTTCTTTATGTCAACCCAGCTACCACTCAGAATTGCCAGTCACGCTACCTGGGGCTGTGCTGCAGCTCCTCTCTTGCTCTGAAGGCTTGTTAAAATCGTCAGGTTAGTACCCAGGCTGCTTCAAATGCGGACTTTCGTCTGCCTTCCTCACTCCGGTCTCTCTTGCTGCCTCTTCTTTCCTTTCTTCGAAGTCAACATTCTCATCGTCGAGTGTCGTGTTTCGATAACTTCTCATTTTACAAGTCAGCCAACGTTCTTGATCAACTCCGTGAAAAACCCACATTCGGATGTTTTCTCAAAGTAAGGGTCTACTTTGGAAATGTATAACAATGACTGATCCATAGCAGCTGTGTTAAAGGGCTGAGTGTTTGAGTCGATCCCCCAATATCCTGTAATGTATACATAATATTAGCATCACTCCACACAAACAGCTGAAGCAGACAGAAGCAAGGTGGTTAGCCCCAATTCAGACAATAGCAATGAAGTAAGGTTTGAACACAAGCAATGTGTACACAAGGATAAGCTGGAGTGTTTATCCATCCAGTTGGGGTGGTCTAAAAGATGTAACAAGAACCCCAGTGTTCCAGTAGCCAGTAGAAATGATGAATTCCACACACATGGTGCTTTACAACCACTTTGACTCCATGGGACTCAACCTTTCGTCCTGTGGATTTGTCTTCCTCCAAATCCTTGCAGTCGTTCCTTGTTTGGTCATTACT